AGATAGATTATAGTCTGGAATAGCACATAAGCTACTTTTTATCCCGGAAAAATGTACGGTTCCCGTGGGATAGGTTTATTTTTGTTTTCCTAGAGGTGAACCCGAGCGAAGGGAGGGTGAGCCGCTAGTAATACATATAGGTCGAACACATAATCTTCCTTTTTGGCTTCGCCGCGGTCTAGGGTATCGTCAACTGTAGGTAGGGTAGGGTGTAAATGTATGTAGTGAAAACTTACAAGCGAAGCTTATCTAAATAGAACTGAAATAAAATGAAACTTATTTATTTAGTAACAATTCTTATACAATATCTATACAGTAAAAAGCAATGGCTACGATGATACTGCAAAAGTATAAACTGCGTTGCAGATATCAACGCCCGCTTCCGTACAATATTTAAACTATTCTATAAAAACTGAAAAACAATAAGATGATGATCATGTAAATGCGTTTGTGAATGCAAAATTATTTAACTTCAAGTACATTTCTAATTACTAGGTTCTAATAATTCTGTTTTGTATAGTTATTACTGTTATAAGGTGCTTACCGACTTACCTATATTTAGAAGTAGGTATAGTTTTACCTATTTAGCACAATTAACAAGATATCATTGTTTTTCAATAGCGCTTAGGTATCTATATAGGTATTTTAAGCAAATCATATATTACACGACCTTGTTCTAGTAATTATTTTTTATCGTTTAAGCATAAGAACTAGGTCTATTTAAAATGCATTTTTTTTGTTCAACGGCATTTAGTGATATTGACATAGGTATTTCTATGTAAAAGTAAATAATAAACTTATAATATTTTATGATCTAATATACCTACTAATAAAATTGCGATCAGTTTATATATTACTAGCGGCTCACCCTCGCTTCGCTCGGGTTCGTCGCTAGGTACGTTTTAAATAGATATAAAAAGAAAAAATCTTTCTTTCTCACATTTTAATTATATGTTTTAATACTTACCTATTCCGGACTAAGAGAAATCCAAAAATTAAAATATCATAAAAATCTGAACGCGGTCGAACGGGATAAAAAGTATCCTATGTCCTTCTCCTGGCTCTAAACTACCTCCCTGCCAATTTTCAGCTAAATCGGTTCAGCCGTTCTTGAGTTATAAGCGAAGTAACTAACACGACTTTCTTTTATATATATAGATTTCGGTACCTATTTATAGATATTATGAATTTTTACCAACGTGAGTCGCTTTGTTGATGGCGATTTTACAATTATATATTTTACAATAAACTTAGTTCAAATATTCCTTTTGAGAGAAACCTCCATTTTAGAGGTTATTTGACTAAACTCTGTTTCCTTTTATTATATCATTGACTAGTAAAAAAAAACCATTGCTGAACTACCTTGATATAATATATAGCGGTTACTGCAGTAACATATAACTACCTGATATATATACCTACCTAAGAAGTAAGAATAGTAGAAAATTATTGTAGGTATTAACCGTTAAATTAATTGGATCTTACGTTGTAGGTACTTGGTTTGGTATATTCATAGTTATCTTACTGCTTCCTGTTTCAATCTTACCATTTAAGTAGCAGTAGTTCATTATAAGAGTAGGTGTCAATAATATCATAAGTATCGAGAAAAAAGCTTCAAACACCAAATAAGCCTCCTACATTAATGACGCGATTATAAGGCTCAGTCATGAATATTAATGATTTGATGACAAAATATGTGTTCATAGTCGAATACGTCACTATTACAATTATTACTTTATAGTTTACAATTTACATGTCCAAATTTGGACTTCGGTCTCGAAGCTGTAGGACTTTTGTAATAAACTGTTATAGGCGCCGCTTATACTTAATTTGAATTAATTTAAAAGAAACATTCTAAGGAATGTAACTACCTATTTTAGGTAGGTATATGATTGGTCGACCATCGTGGAAATCGGACTATTACGGATTAGGTGTTCAAGTTCCGGAGAGGATGCATATTATTTATATTATATTGATAACGAGACAATCTAGTGTGGTCTGAATATCAGGTTTTACGTCCCTTTTTTTTTTTAACGTTGGGAAATGCATTTACGCACGAGGTGTGGGACTCACCGGCAAAGCCAGTACTACCCACTAAAACCCAACAAAGCCTTCCCCCGTCTTAATGGGGCGTCGCAGAATCGCTTACGCATACAACTACGACGCCCCGACGGCAGGTCTGCCGAAGCAGACCACCACAACCATGGGGTTACTCCAAGGTCCACTCTGCTATCAGAGAAGTACCAGGAGCAACCCGCATGGTACACCGCCCTCCGAAGAGGGCCACCTCCCACCGCCCACCGAAGTGGGCCACCTCCCTGTGCGTTTCTTGGCTTCGCGCCCGGTTGGATTGCCGGGCACTACTGAGCCCCCCCACCACGACAAGGTGAACGCACGTTGGGGGGGAGGTTTTACGTCCCTGCAGAGTCACGTCATTTATTTGCATTGCAGATGTGGGATAGTCTAACACTCATAAAAACATCTATTAACAAAACTGAATCTTATATATTTAAACGAGCTATTCTTGTATATATATATATATATATCTCAATATATAATCTGAATCTCGAAAACGGCTCCAACGATTTTCGTGCGAACGTAAAGACAGCAGAAAACAGAAATGTTAGAAAATACAATCAACAATAATATACTTAAATGAGAAATTTAAACACTTAGAAATAAAAATCCTCAATAAATAATTTAGAAAGACATAAAATTAAAACTTCTAGAATTAAAAGCAGCATTTCCTACAATTATTGATGTTTTTATGTAAATTTAGTTAGTAAGCCTTTATAATAAATAAATGAATAAATAAATAGAGCTTTATTATTATTATGATTCCTTTTGCATTATTTCAATAAATTAATAATTAATAATTCCACGCAAAATATTATGTTCGATAATTTCGCATGCTCAGATATAAGCATCATGGTCAAGCGGCCAATGCGCAAATTTGACAACCACAGGTGTCTGGGTTCGTATCCCGGTCGAACACAAAATTTTAATTTTGTTTTTTTTTGACCAAACACTCCGAGCAAGGCTCGGTCGCCCAGGTACTAAGTATTAATTTTAACAAATTATGACTTCCGACTGCATAATATTATGTTCCTTCGTAAAGTTCTTCCCATCATTTTACTACCTTCTCATGCTGTTGGTTTATATCTATTTAATTTATATTTTTTATTTTTCTTGTTGAAGCAAAGCAAGGTAAATTATTATCCCAATAAGGAAATTTCGTCAATTGTCCGTATGTGACAGTCAATTTACTCGAAGACTACATTGATGAAATTTAGTGAGTGTCTCACATGGACCGTTACAAAATTAGGTACCTAGTCAAACTACACAAAATACAAAATAGGAGTGGAACTTCATACATGTATCTAAGTTCCTGGCGAAAAAAGCTTTCAAAACCTTAATAAAGTAAAGGTGTGTGGTATATGTATATATTATATGCAATTATAACAGGCGTTTAAAATTCAAATAGATTTTTCTAAGCCGCTTTTTTGTTCAAGCCAATAGTTGCAGTTATATGGTTCTAAAGTCGAAAAACATGTGCCCCAGACACTAAACTTTTTAAGTATGGGTCTGTGAATCCTGAAAAAGATAATAGAACTAACAAAATACTTCCACGAAAATTACTTTTCTCATTTGGCCGCCAAATTAACTTTGTTTTCTAATTTTATAACAGTCTGTTTAATGTTTTATTCAGGTAAATTTTGTATGTGGCCACAGCCCACACATATTATGCTAGGGTATGCGTAAAAAGCAAAGGTAAGCCCAAGGTCATTAGATCTCGCTTTAGTGCTATGTACATGTAGAGAATCTATGTATTAGATAAAACAACTTAAAAGTCAAGTAATGATAGGTATATACATTTTACAGATTTTTAATGCTGCACAATTTATTACAAATAAAATTTAAAGTTTAATCTATCAATTCATAGGGATTACAACAGTAAATATATATTTTTTTTGTTTTTCTGGCAACTAGAAATGCAAATATCATTTCTCCATATTGCATATACAAGTACTTGTTTAATCTTTAGTCTTATCACCTCTTTAAATACTGATAATGTCTAGAAAACTTAGATAAGAGCTTGCCACAAAATCACAGTATTAAGGAATAAAATACATTTATTTTCTTTTATATAATGTACAATAACAAAACATAGATAAGTAATAGAGATTTAATATACAAGATAACTTACTCATTTAACTATAAAGACAATATTGGAAATTCAAGGACCTTAGACATTGTTATCAAAATTCTTGGTCCCATTGGCTGTTTACTGTTAGAAATGCAAAATAAATGAAGTACATAACAAATATCCCCTTTCATTTCCATATAATTATTAAAAATAAGAAGAAACAATATCAAGTTACAAACTATACTATCAATTAACTTTTGTGCTTTAGTAATTTATATTATTTATACAAATTGTGCTTGTTAATTAAAATAAAGCAAGCTTGCTTACAATTGGCTAGGCAACATAGATCATTTCATGACAGATTAATAACAATTTATACAGCAAATACTAAATAATACAGAAATATTTTTACCACATCTTGAAACATGTTTTATGTAGTATCTGTTCCTATGTTATGAATAAATAAGCTCTGGAAATTATCGTAGAGAATCTACACATAGATATTTTAGTCTTAACAGTGTATGTTTTTTAAAGTTGGCATAAAAATACATACATACTTTTTGAGCTCTTTAGAGCAAGGTATATACTTATAAAAATAGTATATTTATTTCAAGGTATAAATAGCACTGATCATTTTGTATATTCAGTAAAGTATTTGTAGAATTAAATTTATCAAAAACTATTTTAAATGTTATACAAGGTAACACAAACTATTTAAATCCCTTTAAAAGGTGAAGATAATATAAAATTTCCTTTTTTTTCATTCAATATAATCAGTCGTGAATTGTTCATTTATCTTATGAATCATATGTTAGGACAGAATAAGATAAGCATAAATATTTCCAAAAAGTTATCGCCCTGGTTCTACAGAGGCCTGGGGTGCTGGGGCAGCCGTAACTGGAGCTGGTGCTGGTGCACTTGCCGAGTGAGAAGAACCTGACGTAGCCCACACAATAATAATGATGAGCAAGACCGCTCCTATAGCACCAATAATTAACATCATTTTTAAGTTTTGCCACCAGTACTTTCTTTTCAGTTTTCCAGCCTGCTGTTCAAATTGTGCGGCTCCATGTTGTAAGGCATCCGCCCTATTATCCAATTCGGATAACTTTTGATCCCTTTCCAAAACTTTCTCGACATTGACACGCATAATACCAACAACTTCATCTACCTGTGCTTGAGTTTGTGCTAAGCGTTTATCGCTTACTCTCGGTCCTGATGTTCCACTTGGGTTATCCATTATTATGAATGCAAATAAGACGTTAAAATTAACTTTTAAATAATAACAAAAAATGAAAAGATACACTCACTAATAAATATGGCGCTTCAGAGTTCAGCACATAGAGTATATTGCTACAGTTCAGCAGCAATATACTCTAAGCATGGAAATGATTGCTACTTTTAAATCATTATCACGTGATGAAATTACAACAATTTTTCACGTGATTTCACCTGCTACTTTTCACGCATAGATTTTTTATTTCGACGGTCTGGTGTCACACTTTATATTATTTGCTATTAAAATGAAGTATGAAATGTCACCAATGGCGCTACTGATGTGATATGGAGCAGAGATATAGATCTGACGTAGTTGCATACGTACATGGTGCTTTGAATGAACCTATTTTCAAACAATGAACTTTCCCTCATACTTCTACAGGCTTGGGACTGACAATGTAAAATTAAATGAATTTTAAATATATCAGAGTAATCACACGGTAAAATTGTTTTAAGCTAAGTTCCATAATTACATTGGCGTATTTAAAAGTTCATTGTTTTTATGTACAATAAGAATTTTTATAAAAGAATTTTATACACTTTTTTTTTGTTTTTCTTAATTTTTTTAATTTGTGTATAATCATTTTTTTTGCTTTTTGATTTTTTTGATGATTGATTTTTTTATGAGATATCTATATACAATAGTCTTCATTGCTTTTTAAAAATACAAGTTCCGCTGTTCGTTTTCTGCTTAATCGTGCTCTTTTTTGGGTTGCAAAATTTCCCGCTTTTGAAAATACTCTCTCACACTCCACTGATGTCACCACGATGTGACAGTGCTCATGAAATATTTCCGCCAAATTGGGGTACATATAGGAGTGAGATTTCCACCAAACTAATGGCGAAGAATCGCGCGGAAGCACTGGTTCATTAATAAACATTTCTAGCTCGTTCTCAGCGTTGGTGGTTATGTCTGTACGTATTACACATAATCATTCAGTAAAAATTATAAGTATTTGTTGGATAAAAAACTAAAAATGTGCTCTAAATTTAATTGTTGTTTCTAATTTAAAATTATTTCTAAACAATATTTCTAAGAATCCGAAATCATGCAACTCGAAATAAATAAACTCCCCAATTTACTGATCAACGGTATTAACTGAAAATTGTATTTTGTTGAATAAAAAATCAATAAAAACATCAGTACGAAAATGTATACGGAAAATGCGAGTAACGAAATGCATTCGTGAGTAACGTTTCGGTACTCGGTACTAGATGGCGTACCCGTTACTCAGTAACGAATACATACGGTTTGCTACAGCTCTAGATTTCACCAAGTTGTGATTTGTAGCAGCCACTATGAATTTAAGTAGCAGGTGTGACGTATGATTACGCATTTCACGTGATTTTTCACTTGCTACTCGTGAAATGTCCCATCCCTAATATACTCTATGGAGTTCAGAAACGAGAAAATTATTGTGCTACATAGATAACGGAAAACCACAGACTATTTATTAACTATATAACATAATGTCATACACTTCACATCACAGTACTTTGAAAACATACATAAAATGAAATCTCTATAATGCCATTATAAAAAAAAATGAAAACTGCTAATATATCTCCAACGCAATTAAATAAATACATGTTTTAGCGTATTTGGAAATTCAATCCTATAAGGGGGTAAAATGGGGGATGAAAGTTTATATGAAACACTGTAATTAATATGTAAAAAAGTACAAAAAACGTGTGTCTGTACTTATGTACGCACGTAAGAAGTTTCTATACTTTAGCGTTACAGAACAAAAATACCTAAATATTTTTTTTATTAAAGTTTGTAAAAGGAATGCACCTAACTTCATCATGTCGTTATGTTAATCTTGTCGCTTTTTAGCTGTCGGTGTGTGCGCGCATCGTAAAAATTACTCTCATATTTTTTCCAAACGAAAAATGTATGGTTCCCGTGGTATAGATTTATTTTTGTTTTAGTGTCAGGATGTAATTATAAATGGATGATTTCTTTCCAAAAAACAAAAAATGAAGAAATTATAGGCTAAACCAATGCTAAACAAATGATATCCATTTTCTTTGCATCCTGCACTACACAATATGTCATTTTAATAAAATTTTAATTAAAATGAAAAAAAAATATTCACGCTTTATAGCTTTACAATATACTGAGGATCATAGTGATCGTGACATCTGGCGGGAGAAAATAGCAAAAATTCTTCGCCATTGTCTATTTTTCTTTTGTAGTCTATGCCATATTTTAATTATACTAGAATTTTTAATCTATTGCTGAAGTGAGTCTTACTGAGTCGGTGCCGTAATATAAAATCGGTGTTAAATTTATATACAATTTTGGTTAGGTACACTTAAGTTCCAGCTTAAAAATCACATATTGAAACTAAATCTGAAATCACACAAAATGGTAAGATAAATGCCATTCACTTGCTGATATTTACATAGTTTTATGCTTTTAAAAAATGAGAAAGATTATTCTAAGCGGTTGCACATGTGCACATTTTATGATTTTTTGCTTATTTACGTACAGGTTTCATTAAACCCTATAAGGATTTTGAAGAATGAAGCGGAAGAAGAAAAAGCAGAAGTGGCTCGTATGTCAAGTTTCATTGGGGCTATTGCAGTTGGTGATTTAGTAAAAAGTACCCTTGGACCAAAAGGCATGGACAAGATCTTGGTATCTTACGGAAGAAACGCTGGCCAGGTATCTTTCTTTTTGATACCTTTCTGATGATTGAACCACATAATTTTAATTTCATTTGTTAATTATTTTTTTAATTTTCTAGGTTGAAGTTACAAATGATGGTGCTACCATTTTGAAGTCCATAGGAGTTGATAATCCAGCAGCAAAAATTTTGGTTGATATGTCTAAGGTTCAAGATGAAGAAGTTGGTGATGGCACAACATCTGTAACAGTTTTAGGTAATAACTATAGGTACTATCATAGTAGAAATTATAGTGTTTTATAGTATTATTCAAATGTTTACTAATTTATAATTATATTTTTATGTTTAATATGAATATTGAATTGCATTATTAACTAATTTATCAAGGAAGTTAGGAAAATGGTTTAATATAACATGTTTATGCTTCATTAAAAAATTTTAGCTGCTGAATTACTAAGAGAGGCAGAAAAGTTAGTTGAACAGAAACTTCATCCACAAACCATAATTGCTGGTTGGCGTATTGCTGTTGAAGCTGCCAGGCAGTCTCTGGCTGAGGCTAGCTTTGATCATGCAAAGAACATGAATGAAGCTGCTTTGAGGAGTGACTTGGAAAACATTGCTCGTACTACCCTTAGCTCTAAAATCCTTTCAAATCACAAAGAGTAAGCACATAAGTAATATTTTCTTAAGTCATATTTTTTTTATTAAGTTGTTTACATTATAATTTCAATATTGTTTTTATACTTTTTTAGACATTTCACAAAGTTGGCTGTTGATGCAGTTTTAAGATTGAAAGGATCTGGAAATCTTAAAGCCATACAAATAATTAAGATTTCAGGTGGCTTACTTGAAGAATCTTTTCTGGATGAGGGATTCTTATTAAACAAAAAGGTAAGAGTATTGTAGGAGCTTATTTATTTACATAGTAGATATATAGTAAAGGTAACTAAAATGTTAAAAAGATTTTTGTGTAAACAGCACTCTTAAATATATTATTATATACTAGCATAGCCCGCGGCTCTGCCCGCGTTCAGATGACCAAAAACCAAATTTTTAGGTTTTACAGATTTAGTATACTGTTACATTGCATTTTTTGGATTTTATCTCAGAAATGAGATAATTTCCCGCAGTAAAAAGTCCTATATGTTAACCGGATAACCAGCTATCTCCATACCAAATTTCATCAAAATCCCTCCAGTGGTTTTTCTGTGATGTGGTAACAGACAAACAAAAATTCTAAAAACTATAGATTCGCCTCTGTATCAATAATAATATTTATTTCAATAAGATTTTCCAAAAAATATTTAATGTACAGATTCGGCTTAGTTACAATTTTATTATATGTATAGATTTGGATACAATTAAAATGAACTTAAATATTAAAGGTTGGAGTGCATCAGCCCAAGAGAATTGAAAATGCCAACATCCTTATAGCTAACACACCTATGGACACTGACAAGATAAAAATTTTTGGTTCCACTATTAAAGTAGACTCAATGGCAAAGATTGCTGAGTTAGAAGTTGCTGAGAAAGAGAAGATGAAAGACAAAGTAAACAAAATCTTATCTCACAAATGCAATGTATTTATAAATAGGTGAGCAGTTATTAATTTAGCTTTATTTTAGATGTTTTAAGTATTTCAAATTGTTTTTTTTATTTTTCATACTTATTTATACTTCAACATATATTTGTAGGTCACTCCACAATTCTATATTGAGAATTTTATTGTTTGTTATTTACATAATACTTAAATTGTAGCATATATTAAAAATATAATTAAGATTATATATGAAGACTGACTAATAAGTCTTTCAACAGTAAGAAAAGAGTTTGGGTGAAAATGATGTATAATATTTTTTAGCAATACCTATTACAAAAAAGTAAAGCAAATATGTGCTATGATTGTAGAAAGATTAACAACAACATATTAATACTAAATAACAAATAATCATAAAATAAGCTAAAATTATCCATTCAACATGTTTTACACCTGTATCCATAGGGAATATCAAACATGCCACTATTGGCCACCACTGTTTGATTTTTGACTTACATCTATCGAAACGAAGCTACTTACGAGAATTCAGCTTGATGTTTGATATTTTTAAAAGTAAATTAGGGACTGGCTCTTACTACCTTATATTAATATATACAATTAAATTACAATTACTATATGATTTCTTATAGGCAACTTATTTATAACTACCCCGAACAATTGTTTGCTGACGCTGGTGTGATGGCAATTGAACACGCCGATTTTGATGGTATTGAACGACTTGCTCTTGTTACTGGAGGAGAAATTGTATCTACATTTGACTCCCCTGATAAAGTAAAGCTTGGTCACTGCAAAGTTATTGAACAGGTAATAAAACATTAAGTTTATAATTGAGTCATTTAATAATTTGTAAAAACCAAACTTGAGATTAGTTATTCTCTTGTATACTCTGTTAAGGAATGTGTGTGTAAGAAAATAATTCTTGAAGTTCTACTTCTTTTGGCATTTTATGGAAAAAAATGATGAGAGTGAATTTTTTACAATGCAACAGACTTTGACTGCACAATGAAGTTAGTCATTATTAGACTACTGTATGAGGTTTTTATAGGTGGATGTTGGTAGGTGGGTGAAAAATACTTTACAAACTATCCTCATATCTATAAAGTTTACAAAAAAATCATTAAAATCGCTTGAGCCGTTTTGGACGAGTGTGACCACAAACACCATGACACGAGATATTAATATATTAGATTAATCTGATGTGCATTTTTTTCTGTGTGTTATTTAATTAAAGAATTTTGGATTTTTACATTTATAATTTTCTACATTTGAATCTCACCAATTCTCTTAAAATTAGGCATAGCTAACACTTTGCATTGACTTAGGTTATTTTTATCTATGTTTATTTATTATTTTTTTACATGTGGCGGAACTAGTTAGAACCACAGGCAGAAACTAGTTGGCTATGTACGATTTCTTATGTTATTTTATAACTGTATATATTTTGTTACATTTCAGATACTTATTGGTGATGAATGTCTGATCCGTTTCTCTGGTGTGGAGCTTGGTTCCGCCTGCACGATCATCATCCGAGGAGCCACCCAACAAGTGATTGATGAAGCCGAGCGATCACTACACGATGCTCTATGTGTACTGGCTGCTACTGTAAAAGAACCTAAAGTTGTGTTTGGTGGTGGTGAGTTTCTTATTGAATTGCGTTGTAAGAATAATATAAATTGAGAGGATGAATTAAAATCTTTATAACATCATATGCAATTACCATGAAACTGTCAGGCTATGCATATATTCATGATGTAACCATTATTAAAATATTAATAGTAACTATTTATGATCCTGATAAATAAAGTTGCTATTATATTGTAATACTAGCGACTCACCCTCGCTTCGCTCGGGTTCATCCTTAGGTACGTTTTAATTTTTTTGAGCGGAACCCTAATTCTTTTTCTAAAATAAAAGTAGCCTATGTTACTCCCTATAACATCAGCTATCTTCCAGTGAAAGTCCCGTCAAAATCAGTCCAGCCGTTTCAGAGATTATCCGGAACAAACAGACAAACAAAATAAAAAAAAAATGTGGTTTTTTTTTATAAGTACTGTATATAATTTCATACGTATTTAGTGAAATGCTTTTATTTTGATATTACAAAAAGACACTTCAAGTTTATTTATTTGTATAGATTTAAATGGTCCATAGCTCTTGCTGATTTTCTTTCTTGCACTGTCATAGTGATTTCATAAGGATGATTATACATATTAAGTTTTAAATCCGCGACAAAATCCGAAAAGATAGTTTTATTTAAAATGTCAAATATTCGCGTAAATCTAAGAAAGTATTAAGTTTTATACTTTAAAGCATATGCATATCAAATATATAGTTGCCATATAAAAAAAAAACTATTTCATATAGCCAGACAAAACAGCCATAAACTAATAGCTACAGTAATATTATCAGCGCTTGAAATAAAAAAAAACTTGTACAATAACCATGCTAAAAAAGTTTGATACGATGAAGTTTTCACAACGTAGGTGCAAGCGAGTTGCTGATGGCGGAGGCGGTGTCCCGCGCGGCGGCGCGCACCGCCGGCAAGGAGGCGGCGGCCGTCGAGGCCTTCGCCGTGGCGCTGCGCCGCCTGCCCGCCGCCGTCGCCGACAACGCCGGCTACGACAGCGCCGACCTCATAGCGCGACTGCGCGCGCACCACGCGCAGGGCGAGAACACTATGGGACTTGGTTAGTCATTTCCTATGTTATAACGTGCTCCTCGCCGATTTCTGCCACTGCGACCGATCTCACTGAGACTAGCTAGATAGTTAACATGTGTAGGAGATATTATGCTGCACAAGTGCCCTCTATTTCTGTCACTAATATTGCGGTGAGACGACAATTCGACACGACTGGTGAGAGATCGAGCGCAAGACGCGCTCCCCGAGGCACCGGGCGACCGGGCCGTTACCGAGAATTTCTAGACAGAAAACCTTAATAAATAAACTTCCAATTGTACAGATCTGCAACCGTATATGCTAGCCATTAGACGACTAAGTTAGTTAACATAGTATAAAAAGCACAAAACCAGATACAGCTTGTTACAAAATTCGCCGTCTCCCCGACGTTTCAAACACTGAAATAACTAGACTACTAACTCTTTAAAAAATCTAATTGTACAAGTATAATTTTTATTTAATTCATGATTCTGATGAGTCATGGGACAAGGGTCTTCATAGCCATACATATACTTTGCGAAAACATGGCTGAAATAGATTATCTATTTAGGAATAGAATAGATAGTATTACATTAGAAGCGCATAAAGATTAAATATCAATATATAATAAAAAAAACTTTTCTGGTCCCTTAACCTTATGTAAACTATATGAAATATTTTCATAAACATCCCACAAATATTTTTAGATATGGAAAATGGTCGTGTGGGAGATATGAAGAAGCTCGGCATCACTGAATCGTATGTAGTGAAGCGCCAAGTTCTGTTGTCTGCTGCCGAAGCCGCCGAAGTAATTCTTCGTGTGGACAACATATTGAAGGCAGCACCTCGCAAGCGTGGACCAGACCATCGTCCATGTTAATAAATATGTTGTAATAATCATAAGTTGTTATAAGAGCTTTACATGTAACATGCGAACATTCTAAAAACATAAGGACTGCACTGACCACATTTTTTTTTTATAAAAATAGCTTTGACTTAAGGCGAAGCGTGTTAAAGTCCTATGTATAGCGTTCATTAATAAAATAAATATCCATTTGATATTAAACAGAATTTTAAGTATGTATTTTTTTAATAATGAAAGCTCTTAGACACTTTAAATTATTATTAATTTTTCTCTTGCTTTTAATGCAATATAATTTTATGATAAAACCTTATTTCGTCGCGCTTTAAAAGTATTTATTGTAATGAAGTGCAGTTTCATTCCATTATTTTATTGAATGTTGGTGCACTAGTGAATTACATTTTAAATTTATTTTTGTGTTTTCAATTTTTATGTTGAGAATGTCATATAGCAATGCTAGCAGAAATATCGGGTGGAAAATGAGAACTTTCTTTAACTTACTTAGTTATAGTTTGGCCGCTGATGCCTTAATAATAATTTGTATTAACAAATGAATAAACTCTTCACAAAATATTGCCATGTTTTAATTTTGGGCACTAACATTGTCCTTTTACATTTAATCAATAAATAATATAATTATTTATTTACGTTTACCAAAGAAATTATATTGGAACAAAATTATCTTAGAGTGATTTCAAATTTTATAGATCGAATTATACATATATTAATTAGTGGGAAAATTACATTTTTAGTTTTTTACTATCTATACAAAAATATTAATAGTAATTGGCAATTACAGATGACTAAATGTAAACTAGCGTTGCCCGCGGCTCCGCCCGCGTTCAGATGACAAAAACCAATTGCATTTTTTCTCAGAAATGAGATATTTCCCCGCGGTAAAAAGTGTCCTATATGTTGACCCGGACAACCAGCTATCACCATACCAAATTTCATCAAAATCCCTCCAGTGGTTTTTCTGTGATGCGGTAAGAGACAGACAGACAAAAATTCTTATACTAGATTCGGCCTCTGTATCGATAATAATGTCTATTTCAATAAGGTTTTCCAAAAAATATTTAAGGTACAGATTCGGCTTAGTTACAATTTTATTATAAGTATGGTTATATTTATGTCAATACTTATATGTATGTACGATACACTTTCATTTATGTGTATCTGGGACAGTAACACAATTTACCCTTATTATTTGATTTAACCCTCGTAGTTTTATATCCGAACAATAATTCTGTTAGAACCTTTTTCTGTTTATTTGAACATTTTATATTTTCTCTCAAAATCAAAGGGAGTGACGTAATTTGATAATGACAAACTTAGAATATCTTTTTTTTTGTGACGGGGATTCTGGAAGGAAGCTTTCTGATTAGTATTCGCTCCAGTAAATTCTATTGTCAAATAAAAATACCTTTTAGATGACACCTTAAAACTAAGCATATACTAAACTATCCCGAACTGAGCAACGCAAAATGAAGAACCCCAGTTTCAATTTATTTAGCTGAGGCAATTAGTATAGCGCTAATGTTATTTCTATTTCAAACAGATTACTTAACAGTATACGTCACGAAGATAATTTTTTACGAATCGTGGCGAATTATAGTTTCCTAAAAATTTAATCTTACTTCCTACTAATACAGTGTAGTGGACCGAGTATTTTTTTACGTTATAAAGAGTTTTCGTTAAATGAAGAATAAAGAAAAATAACAATAAACATAGAATTCAGTACATACTTTATTTACACAACAAAATTATAATCTGCTAACTTTGGTGTCGTTTTATACTTTGCCAATATTTTCTCTCCTTTTTTTCGTCAATACACAGACTTTCTTTTAATCGTCATGTTTATAGTTCAACAGTTTGAATGCAACTAAGATTATTAAAACGAAAAAGGCGATAACAAGGAAGTACAGGAAACAAATATGTGCTAAGCAATTACAATAAACACATTTCTACGAATTATGCGTACAAAATATTTTGACTCTATGTCGGTATTGTTTGAAGGTCAGTGAAATTAATTTTTATTGGGGTCTATTATGACTTATTATTTCGCTATTAAGAGTGGTTGTTACGTTATACAGTGTTTCGATACATGGGTCACAATGTAAACCAAAAAACCTTAACAATATCTCATTTTAAGGAGATTTTTGTTAAATAGAAGTTCGTTATATAGTCTGTATTATGAGATTATATTTTAAATTGACGACTTAGGTGCTTACTTGCCTTTTTGCCATACATTTTATTGTTTTATTTCAACTTGACTCCTTGTTTTTTCCGACTTCTATTAAAGTTATGATATCTGTCAGTAAACACATTATTATTGGAATAAAAAATAACTTATAGCAATGGCGATAACGTAAAACTTTCTGTTAGTGAAAGTATTTTCAGAATCGGATCAGTACTTTAGAGATTGCTCCTTACATCTAATCTTACAAATTTAACCCTTTTATAATACCAGTGGAGATATATTTATTTAAGCTACATATTTCAAATTCATACATATGTACATAATATATTATAATTTATAATATTAAGACAAACTAAAGAGAGAAATAATGCGCTTTTAACATCGTCTTAATTCTTAAACTTGTCCAAGATATTAGCCCGTCTGATATTTAATGTTAAAGAGTTCCATAGAAAAGTAGTTGGTAAGTAAACAAGAGGAGTGAAAAGGAATTTTAAGGAGAAGCGTTTCACAAGGTCGCAGAGAACGAGTATGAGAATCCCTTAGTAACTTGAAACGCTCTTTGAAGTCACGACATGAAACGGTTGAACCGACTTAACTGTTTTAAGAGTGATAACAATGCGATCATATTGGGCAACCTCCAAGGTATATTCTCTCGTTTTAGCCCTGTGATAGGTTCTGGTTCTATATTTGTTTTCCCATTGCGACTCAACAATCTGGAAGTGGGCTGTGTAAGTTGATTATTTTAAGCGTCGAAATCTAGAAAAAGAGCAATAATAGATATAAAGAAAAATTGGTAACTATTTATATGCTTTGAGTTTAATAATTACATCTAGTTTTGTGATAAATGATAAGCTACGGAGTCCCTGATCTTATTTACTTTTGGCCGACTTATCGAATACTCAACGAATACCTATCCAAATCCTCGATATCATCTGCGTCTAACAATAAGCAGATTTAATCCATTAAAATTTTCAGTTAAGAAAAAATATAGTACATATTTAAATAGTGAGTTATTTTAGTGCTCCGCCCTTTGAAAAGATGTATTTAGATTGTAAAAACAATCTTTTCAAACAGATTTTTGCAGTAGTTCTGAAATGAGTATCGTGTAAAGCTCTAAGCACAGTGCCACTTTTCATTTTGCGCTGGAATATAGCTAAGTACTGCTGAGCTGTACTTAGCTCGATTATTGTCAAATCAAACTATTTTTAAACCGACGATAGAAACATATAACCATTGGCTGCATAACATTCAATTGTTTGTAAACATGCAATATTTAATGATGGAAATAGTATTCGAATGTTGCTTTAATTACGGGTTGTTTAGCCGTAGCGGTAGGACTAACGGAGTGTATTTGCGTAGGCTTTTATGAATTTTAATTTCAGCTTGCTACTAATTAGGGTAATTAAGTACCACTAACAATGACCTATTTCAAATACAGATGTTATCTAAGACTACAATGCTCGTAGTTAATACTTAATCGCGCCAGTGTATTGCATGTTGCTATTTAAATGAACCATTAACGTTTGTATATAAAAATTCTATCTATTTAATGCTATGTTGAAATGTAGTACAACCACATTGGTTGTAACTACTAAGAAGGTATACTGGCAAATTAACAATTTTGTATGTAAACTAGCGTTTGCTTGCGTGCTATGTCGGCTATTTTCATTTTATTTGTAACTTCAGAAGATCGAGATTCATCCTTTACTAGGAGCCGTTTCCTAAACACAGACGCTATATAGGTAGGTATATATGCTCACCAGATTTCTCTATATCAACACAACTGATTAGAAATTACAGAAAATCAAAGAGATATAATATGACATGTTAACATTCTAAAAACCATTCATTCATCCTAATCTTAAATATGAGAATAAATTAAGAATTAGTTTTTTTCTTAAATATATGTAACTACTTCATATGATATGATTAATTTAATAGTTTTAAGCTGTTATCGCAAACGGACTCTTTGTGCCTGTCTGTGGTGAGTCTAGTTACATTACCGTGGTCTAGCGTACAGGATAATGATACGAAATTTCATTTATGGGTATTTGACAGATTATATTATCGCGGGTACGTTAAACGTTTCTCTAAACTAAAAAGGACTCCTACACATCTAAACTTTAAAGTCTTACATGATTATAAAATGTAGACTAATAATTACCCGATTGCAAGGGAAGGGTCATGTTTTTCGCACCTATCTTTGTATGTTTGTTTGTAATATTATCTATTCCCTCATATCTTCCAAACCACTCGATGGATTTATTTAATTAAGGTATCGTTAGATTCGTCTCATTAGTCCAAGTGTGACATAAAAAAATATGGAGGCTGCTAGATTCCATAATGTATAAAAAGAAAAAAAAATGAAAATCGACGAACTATGTCAAGTGGGGTATCGTTGAATAGATATTTAAAAATAGTTTTTAGGTTTCTTTCATCATTTTTCATTTTAAATAACAGTTTAGGATATTATTATAATGATTTAAAGTTGGTTAACAACCATTCTCGCTAATTTTCCTACTTAAATATATTTAAAATAGCTGTAAATAAATAAATATATTAAAAAAAAAAACCCGACTGCATAAAAGCTAACTAAAACGATGAAAACAAGTTCTCGATGGAATATAGTATTATGCAGTCGAAGACATACACATTTCATCCTTGCCGCGAGATGTACATTGTACATACTCGTATGTATGTCTCCGACTGCATAATACTATATAGTATATTCCATCGTGAACTTGCTATGTGGTAGCTGTAATGAAAACGACGATTTTGATAAATGGTGTAACCTCCAACGGTGTCCATATAAAGA